CACACATATGCGCGCGTGCACACACACACACACACACTTCCATGCCGAACGCAGCAAATTCTGCAGCTCAGTTTGTGTTCCAGAGCCTGCTACTGATCAGGTTGAGATACGTCCTGAGACCAAATCATTGCTCAGTGCCTTTTTTGTTTTTTTTTTTTTTTGAGATGGAGTCTTACTCTGTCACCAGGCTGAAGTGCAGTGGCACGATCTCGGCTCACTGCAACCTCCACCTCGCAGGTTCAAGCGCTTCCCTTGCCTCAGCCTCCTGAATAGCAGGAATTAGAGGTGTCCACCACTACATCCAGCTAAAGTTTGCATTTTTAGTAGACACAGGTTTCACCATGTTGGCCAGGATGGTCTCTATCTCCTGACTTTGTGATCTGCCAACCTTGGCCTCCCAAAGTGCTGGAGTTATAGGCATGAGCTGCCGTGCCCGGCTGGCTCAGTGCCTTTTTAACCAGGCTTCCCTCCCTTCGTCTGCAATCTCTCTCTTCCTTTGAATCTCAACCTCAATCTCTGTTCTGGGGAACACACCTTATGACCACACCTTATCCACATAAGCGTTAGCAGGTAAGGAACATGACCGTCACTCAATAGACGTGGTGCCTGAAGTCAACTCACCTGGACAACGTCCACCACAAGGTTGAGCACCATAATTCTCCCCTGAGGGGCTTCTGCCTCCAGGATTTATAAGGAAGCGGAGAAAAGCAAGGAGCTGATAAAGCTTCTTGTGTATGAAGATTGGAGATGTAGAAAGTGACTCTGAGACGCATGCCGCACCTGGAACACAATCAATGCATGCTGGAAACAGATGTTGGGGCCGCAGGAAAAGTTAGCACTGAGACAGAGGATCTTTCAGCAACGCAATTTTTACTTCCTGTGCTGCAGAAGGGGACCCTCACTAGCCATCGTACCACAAGAGTACAAGGAATAAAGGAAAACACACACATTTATCGCTTACACATATGGGGGTCATCCTTACTGCTGTGTCTGATCTCCATTGGCTGGAGCCAGACCTCACCATCTAAACTAAAACCTGACTGGCTGACAACTTAAAACTTTTCTAAACAGGTGAAAGCCATGGAGAGCTGGACACGCCTGTGAGCACACCCAGCACTGATATCTCGGTGAAAGTACAAGGATGTAGAATATACCACGTGCCTGTGAGCACGGCGTGTCTAACAGCCGCATAGCATAGGGCTTCACAAAGAGTTATCAGCACACCTATGTAATCCCCTAACTCGGGTTAGCCCTACCTGACTCCATCTCAGCAGTAAGCTCCAGCCTGGCCTCTCCCTCCCCGCCGCAGCCCCACAGGTGCATAGCTGGGTCGTGCTGCACTTAGATGCCTTGAAGCGTTAAAGTATGAAGCATACTGTTCTTCACAGTTGTAATGTAACCACAGCCTGCTTGGCAAGCCCACCTGCTACTGTGAGGAACTCCCCTTTGATGATTGCGTAGAAAGCAGCGGAAACACCCCTCTTAGTGGCTGTATGGGAAGTTCCCCCTGCTATCATCTTTAATGCCTCCTACTGACTTGCTCTTTCTGCTTCTGTAAAATTCCGCTTCAGCTACGCTCCCCCTTCCCTACCTAAACAAGGCACAAAGGGAAATCGAGATTTTGAGCGGGAGCTGACTCTTGGTTGCTGGCTGATGGAGGACTCTTTTTTTTTTTTTCTTTTTTTGAGACGGAGTCTCGCTCTTGTTACCCAGGCTGGAGTGCAGTGGCGCGATCTCAGCTCACCGCAACCTCCGCCTTCTGGGTTCAGGCAATTCTCCTGCCTCAGGCCTCCTGAGTATCTGGATTACAGGCACGCGCCACCATGCCCAGCTAATTTTTTGTATCTTGAGTACAGACGGGGTTTCACCATGTTGACCAGGATGGTCTCGATCTCTTGACCTCGTGATCCACCTGCCTTGGCCTCCCAAACTGCTGGGATTACAGGCGTGAGCCACTGTGCCCGGCCGAAGGACTCTTAATTTGGAACTCAGAACGTCTTAATTTGGTGCCGTCTGACTTGCTTGGTTACAACACTTATCTTTAACAAGAAAGGAAACTTTAAAAAGGAACTTTTCTACTCCCCACAGTGCAGGTCAAACGCAAACCCATCATCCTGTGCCCTGTTCCCTCTGGCCCTCCTCCTGCTCCCTGGAGTAAGGTAGACAGCCTGACTGTTACGTTTATGCCTCTGGGTATATTTTCACGTTTTCCCGGGACCTCCCAGAATCACTGTGTCAGAAAGCAGTCCAGGGATGCTTCCATGAAGGTGCCTCCCCAAACCCTAAGGCCACCCTCTGTGCCTCTCAAACTACCCCATCTTGTTGGCCATCTGACTGCATCTGCTGAGCATCAGTCTCAGGGAAAGACACAGTAATTGGTGGAGACCTACCCATTCCTTTTGTTTCTTCTTTTTGTTTTGAGATGGAATCTAGCTCTGTCTCGCAGGCTGGAGTGCAGTGGCATAATCTCAGCTCACTGCAACCTCTGCCTTCTGAGTTCAAGTGATTCTCCTGCCTCAGCCTCCCCCAGTAGCTGGAACTACAGGTGCATGCCACCACGTCCAGCTAATTTTTGTATTTTTAGTAGAGACGGGGTTTCACCATGTTAGCCAGGCTGGTCTTGAACTCCTGACCTCAGGTGATCTGCCCGCCTTGGTGTCCCAAAGTGCTGGGATTATAGGGATTATAGACGTGAGCCATGAGGCCCAACCCCCACCCATTCTTAAAGATAAGATTCATGGAGTTACAGCTGGGGGAAAGAGCAGATGGAAAGCTGGAACACCTGGTTTGAACTGGCAAGAATTAGGCTCCTTGCAAAAGCTGAATTGGCTGGGACTGGGTCCTGGGGTTAGTTAAGTGTCATGATTACTTTGGGGGATCAACCCATTCTCTCACCAACAGCAGCAATTCAGGAGTTGGTACATGGCATTCTAGTGAACATTTGAGATACTCGAGTGAATGAAAGCCCCTTTTTTTTTGAGATGGAGTTTCACCTTTGCTCCCAGGCTGGAGTGCAGTGGTGTGATCTCAGCTCACTGCAACCTCCGCTTCCTGGTTTCAGTTGATTCCCCCGCCTCAGCCTCCCAAGTGGCTGGAATTAGACATGCACCATCATCTCCGGTACATTTTTTTATTCTTAGGAGAGAAGGGGTTTCACCATGTTGGCCAGGCTGGTCTTGAACTCCCGATCTCAGCTGATCCACTGGCCTCAGCCTCACGAAGTGCTGGGATGACAGGCGTGAGCCATCGCGCCTGGCCAGAAAGCACTTTTCAGTAGGTTTTGAATTCTTTGTGAAAGTATCAAGGACTCCCCTGTGGCCCCAGCCTTCATCCCAAGTGCTCAGTATAACTATGTAGTCACTTCTCAGTTGCTCCAATTGATTTCCTGGAATAAGGACAGGTCCCAAGGGGCACTGAATCTTCCTTGATGAAGAGTTCTGCCACTGTCTGAGGTGGAGGGGCTGGGGTCGAATGGGGTTCGAGGAGGAGTGGCAGCCTGCCCAGCCCAGTGTCCATGAACATCATGGGGCTTCTGGGGAACACATCCATGTGGCTACAGCCCACCCAGCACTCTGGTGACGGACCCGGAGCCCTGTTTCTGCATTTTCCCTGGATGACCCAGGATTTCTGGGTCTACAACAATTCTACCCGTTAGAAATACAATACGGGCCAGGCACGGTGGCTCACGCCTATAATTGCAGCACTTTGGGAGGCCAAGGAGGGTGGATTACCTGAGGTCATGAGTTCAGGACCAGCCTGGCCAACATGGTGAAACCCCGTCTCTACTAAAAATACTTTAAAAAAAAATTAGCCCGGCGTGGTATGGGCAACTATAATCCTAAATACTTGGGAGGCTGAGAAAGGACATTGCTTGAACCCGGGAGGCGGAGGTTACAGTGAGCCGAGATCACACCACTGCACTATTCTGGCCTGGGTGACAAGAGCAAAATTCCATCTTAAAAAAAAAAAAAGAAAGAAATACAATATGAGCTGGACAAGGTGGCTCACGCCTATAATCCTATCACTCTGGGAGGCCAAGGCGGGTGGATCACTTGAGGCCAGGAGTTCAAGACCAGCCTGGCCAACATGGTGAAACCCCATCTCTACTAAAAATACAAAAATTAGCCAGATGCAGTGACTCAAATGTGTAATCCCAGCACCTTAAGCGGCCAACGTGGGCAGATCACTTGAGGTCAGGAGCTTGAGACCAGCCTGGCCAACATGGTGAAACCCCAGTCTCTACTAAAAATACAAAAATTAGCCAGACACAGTGGTTCACACGTGTAATCCCAGCACCTTAAGCGGCCAAGGTGGATCACTCGAGGCCAGGAGTTCGAGACCAGCCTGGCCAACATGGTGAAACCCCGTCTCTACTAAAAATACAAAAATTAACCGGGCATGGTGGCACATGCCTGTGATCCCAGATACTCAGGAGACTGAGGCAGGAGAATCGCTTGAACTCGGGAGGCAGAAGCTGCAGTGAGCTGAGATCCCGCCATGGCACTCCAGCCTGGGCGACAGACTGAGACTTTGTCTCAAAAATAAAAATAAAATAAAATACGATCCACATAAGCAATTGAAAACTCTTTGTTAAATACATTAACAAAGGAGTAAAATGAAACGGTGAAATCAATTTTATTACATTTAATCACTATAAAAGTCTCCTTTTAACAGGTATATAAATGGATATTTACATAAATGTATAAATGCATACTTATGTATTTTTTAAATTAATTAAATCTGTACAAATTTGTTACAATATATTTGTATGCAAATATGTGTATTTAATAACTATATAAAATAGTCTCATTTTAACATGTATGTATATATATATATATTTTTTTTTTTTTTGAGACAGAGTTTCACTGATGTTACCCAGACTGGAGTGCAATGGCGCGATCTCGGCTCACCGCAACCTCCGCCTCCCGGGTTCAGGCATTCTCCTGCCTCAGCCTCCTGAGTGGCTGGGATACAGGCACACGCCACCGTGCCCAGCTAATTTTTGTTATTTTTAGTAGAGACGGGGTTTCACCATGTTGACCAGGATGGTCTCGATCTCTTGGCCTCGTGATCCACCCACCTCGGCCTCCCAAAGTGCTGGGATTATAGGCGTGAGCCACTGTGCCCGGCCATGTATGTTATTTTTATATTTACTTAAATATATGAAGTTACAGTTTCAGTATTTTTAAGTTAATTAAATATGTACAAATTTTATTAAAATGTTTTCATATAAATATATTTAATCACTATATCAAATAGTCTAATTTCAACATATATATTTACAGAAACATAAATTTATAGCTTATGTATATTTTTCAATGTATTAAATTTGTAAAGAATTTTATTATATTTATGTATAAACATACTTGTTTTATCACTATATAAAAAGTCTCATTTCAGAATGTATATTTATATAAATATATAAATTTATATTTATTTATTTTTTTAAAGTTAAATGTGTACACACTTTATTAGGATATATTTCTTCCTGGGCACGGTGGCTCACGCCTATAATCCCAGCACTTTGGGAGGCTGAGGTGAGTGGATCACCTGGGGTCAGGAGTTCGAGACCAGCCTGACCAACATGAAGAAACCCATCTCTATTAAAAATACAAAAAGTTAGCCATAATCTCAGTTACCCAGGAGACTGAGGCAGGAGAATCACTTAAATCCAGGAGACAGAGGTTGCAGGGAGCTGAGATTACACTACCTTTCTCCAGCCTGGGCAAGAAGAGCGAAACGCCATCTGAAAAATATATCTATATTTCTATATAAACATATATTATAAATGTCATAAATGAATATGCACATTTCATAAGCATTAAAATAGTTATATGCGTATACACATAATTTATTTCAAATTTATATTTTGAGATATGTGTGTAAATATGTTTAGAATTGTATATATAGGTATAGCTAAGATTATTTACAATTGTATGTATTGTTATTTACAGTATATTAGAATTGTATATATAGGTAGCTAGGATTATTTAGAATTGTATATATGGTTATTTACAGTATATTAGAATTGTATATATAGGTAGCTAGGATTATTTACAATTGTATATATGGTTATTTACAGTATATTAGAATTGTATATATAGGTAGCTAGAATTATTTAGAATTGTATATATTATTTACAGTATATTAGAATTGTATATATAGGTATAGCTAAGATTATTTACAATTGTATGTATTGTTATTTACAGTATATTAGAATTGTATATATAGGTAGCTAGGATTATTTAGAATTGTATATATGGTTATTTACAGTATATTAGAATTGTATATATAGGTAGCTAGGATTATTTAGAATTGTATATATTATTTACAGTATATTAGAATTGTATATATAGGTATAGCTAAGATTATTTACAATTGTATGTATTGTTATTACAGTATATTAGAATTGTATATATAGGTAGCTAGGATTATTTAGAATTGTATATATGGTTATTTACAGTATATTAGAATTGTATATATAGGTAGCTAGGATTATTTAGAATTGTATATATTATTTACAGTATATTAGAATTGTATATATGGTTATTTAGAATAGATTTTGGAATTGTGCATATAGTTATTTAGAATAGATTTAGAATGTACCTAAAAGAGATTTAGAATTATATATATCATTATTTAGAATAAATTTAGAATTGTATATATCGTTATTTACAATGTATTAGAACTGTGTGTGTAGTTATTTAGAATAGATTTAGATTTGTATATATAATTATTTAGAATAGATTTATTATGTATATATAGTTATTTAGAATAGATTTAGAATGTATATATAGTTATTTAGAATAGATTAGAATTGCACATATAGTTATGAGATAGTGTGCATTCTTTTTTCACACCACTTCTTCAAACCCAGTGTGCATTGTACACTTACAGCACATGTCGGTTCAGATGAACCGGCATCCTTTGGGTGTTTGTTCCCTCCAAATCCCTGTGAAAGTAGCATCCCCGGCATTGCAGGAGAGGCCTGGTGGGAGGCATTTTGGTCATGGGAATGGATTCCTCATGAGTGACTTGGTGCTGCCCTCGTGGTAATGAGTGAGTTCTCACAGTATTAGTTCATGCAAGAGCTGATGTTTCGTTTTGTTTCAGATGGAGTCTCGCTCTGTCACCCAGGCTGGAGTGCAGTGACACAATCTCAGCTCACCGCAACCTCCTCCTCCCTGGGTTAAGGAATTCTCCTGCCTCAGCCTCCCGAGTAGCTGGGACCACAGGCACACACCACCACGCCCGGCTAATTTTTGTATTTTTAGTAAAGACAGCATTTCTCCATCTTGGCCAGGATGATCTCGATCTCTTGACCCCATGATCCACCCGCATTGGCCTCCCAAAGTTCTGAGATTACAGAAGTGAGCCGCCACGCCTGGCCGTAAGGAATCTTTACAAAGGAACTTTTCTACTTCCCACAGTCCTGTGGACTAAACAGGAAGCATGGTGTTGAGGAGGACGGGTCAGATATTTTGTCAAGCTGTCCCTCTGTTGGGATTTGTCTGCGACTTTTCTCATGGTGAGACTAGGGTGGTGGTTTCGGGGTGGATGACTGCAGAGATGAACAGTCATTCCCATTACATCATATCAAGATACAGACCGTCAGCCTGTCCGATGACTGTGGATGTTGGCCATGATCAGCGCTGAGGCGGTGTTTGTCAGATTCCTCCGATATGAAGTCATTATTCTCCCTCATCATGCTCTTTCAAAGGAAGTCTGTACATGCAACCCACAGTTAAAGAAATGGGGAGTTATATTTCATCAAATATCTACATAAGGCCGGGCACGGTGGCTCACGCCTGTAATCCCAGTACCTTGGGAGTCCAAGGCAGGTGAATCACGGTGTCAGGAGATCGAGACCATCCTGGCTAACATGGTGAAACCCATCCTTATTAAAAATATAAAAAATTAGCCGGGCATGGTGGTGGGTGCCTGTAATCCCTGCTACTCGGGAGGCTAAGCCAGGAGAATCAATTGAACCCAGGAAGCAGAGGTTGTAGTGAGCCAAGATCATGCCACTGTACTCCTGCCTGGGTGACAGAGCGACAGTCTGTCTCAAAAAAAAAAATCAACATAAATTATTTGGAACTCTTCTGCAAGGTTGATTTGACCGCCCTCGTTCACTTACGTATTTATTCAATGATTCATTGCTTTGGTTACCATCTAATATTTTATTTTATTGCCTAGACTGTTTCAGCTTTGAGCATCAGAAGCTCCCTCAGGTTGGGACTCGTGTCTCTTTGACATACCCACGTCTTGTTGTCTTGGAGATTTTTGTGTTTGAGCTAGATGTATGGGTATTCCAGAAAATGCGATTTCCTTAGTTTCTGGTACGAGAAGATGGTCTGGGCTTATCTGTAGCATCCAGCTCCATGCTTAGAGTTCACCACTATTTCAGGGAACCCTGGTTCTTTTTCTGTGAGTGTGATACTAAGAACCCATGTGCTGGGTGAAATGACTTGTCAGTAGCCTTGAAGGAGTGGACTGGCTGGGCTCAGGGTCTCCTGTCTGTCAGCACAGCACTTTGGGAGGTTGAGGTGGGAGGGTCCCTTGAGCCCAGGAGTTCAACACAAGCCTGGGAAACTTAACAAGACAAAAAATAAAAATAATTATCCGCTTAGTGGCACATACCTGTAGCATAAACAACTCAGGAGGCTGAAGCAGAAGAATTGCTTAAGCCCAGGTGTTCAAGATGACAGATATGGTCCCACCACTGTGCTCCAGCCTGGGTAACAGAGCCAGACCCCCCTCTCTAAAAAGTTAAACAGTGCAAGAGTTTGATTGTGCCACTGTGCTCCAGCCTGGGTAACAGGGGCACACCCTGTCTCCAAGGAGAGCAGAGGATGGGGGAGGGGTGTAATCTTTCATCAGATCGCCATTTGTTTTTTTTTTCCCCCTTCTCTTTGTATCTACTTAGGTCCCCTAAGGCGCTGGAGAATGCTGGCGGCTGTGGAGTCATGTGTTTGCGTGCATGACAGGTGCCAGCCAGGGAGCCGTGGGCACACCACCCTGGGAAGCCAGCACCCACAGGCCAGGACTGCAGCGTGCAGGGATGGATCTCTGAAGGTCACTGCTCCGCCCTGCTCTGAAGACTGTCCACCAGCATGTCAACGCAGCTGCCCTGCGGGGGTTGAAGGGTGGGAGGACTGTCAGTCAGGATTAAGGCCATCTCCCCCGCCCATCACTCCTTCTGCCAAGCCATCACCAGGCAGCCGGGACTCACGGGCAGTGTCACCTCCGGGGCCATGCTGGCATCTGTAACCTCCATCCACCGTCAAGGTCCCATCCAGCCAGCTCCGCCCACCTGCCTGGCCCAGTCTCTTGTGAAGTTTCACGCTCCTTCCTCTTGTGCAGAGTCGGAATTCACAGGGGTCGCCATGCCCACAGGTACCCCAGTGGAAGTGTTGACTCTTATTACTGGCTAGACCCATCCAGAGGACAAACCAGCTTCAGATAATGCCATCGTTAAAGTAGGTGCCACTGGGGGGTTTCCGCACTTAACTCCCCGATGCCGTCCCCGCCATCAACCTGATACAGACTCCGTCCCCTGCAAGATCGCTTCCTCTCGAGTGCAGACCAGATCCCCCAGGGAAGAGACTCCTCGTCCTCATCGTTGCCAAGTGACCCCGAATATTCCTCTCCTGCCTGTTGCAGAAAGGAAAAGTCACGTTCTGGAAGAACAGCATTGCCCTACAAATACAGACGAGAGACTCTGCACCTAGAACAAGAGTCCCGGAAATTTCCAGAAGCAAATCTTGCACTTGTGACCATCAGATTCCACCTGACGCCTAATGCACCTTCTCAAATCTCATCACGTGTGACAGCCGCAACACCCGGTCCAGCGGCCACAAAGGACTCTCCGCTGTGTTTCTTCTGCTTCCTTTAACGCATGAGAGTGAAGAGATGAGGATGAAGGCGGGCCGAACACTGGTCTCTCTGAATGCCCTGGACCGACAGCAGCCCTGGACGCCCACTCCCCATCCTGTCCGTATGCACCCTGGTGAGCGTTTTCTAGAAGCTCCCATTGTTCCGTGTTTGTAGGTGTGATGTGTGCCACCTCTGAGGCTGTCGTAGCTTCTGCCTCCTCTGTCTGCAGAGAGGCCACAAAGACAGAGCTGAGAAATTATGGCTATCCCAGAAAATAAAATATTTTTTGAAACCACACAGCACAGGTGTGGGTCTTTGTGTCACCGTGAAAACAGAACCCTGCATACTGTTAGCTTGGTAGCATTTGGATGACAGACAGAGTATTCACGGGCCCTGCAGAGAAGTACGGGTGGAAATGCGTTTATCACCTGAGCTTGGTACAGTCTGCTCTTGGTACTTTTTTTTTTTTTTTTTTTTTGATGGGGTCTCGCTCTGTCGCTCAGGCTGGAGTTCAGTGGCACGATATCAGCTCACTGCAACCTCTGCAGCTGGGATGACAAGCTCCCACTATCACGCCTGGCTGATTTTTGTATTTTTAGTAGCGATGGGGTTTCCCCATGTTGGCCAGGCTGGTCCCAAACTCATGACCTCAGGTGATCCGCCCACCTCAACCTCCCAAAGTGCTGGGTTCCCAAAGTGTGAGCCGGGTGGCCTCTGGCTGCATCTATAGAATGAGATGCCTCTCATATGGTCTCCATAGGTGTGGGAAGGGATGCCTTCTATTAAAATAACCACTAAAAAGGCAGTGTCAGAGCTCCCATGATGATTTTAACACCCAAGCTCTTCTGAGGTCGTTTTCCTAAAGGAGGTCTGCTTTCTCCATGTCTGAGAACACAGAACATATTCTCACCCTGTACACAGAGGAGCACCGCACTTCACACTCGCGGGTCTCAGCTTTCCCTGGGCAGGGTCTCAACGTGGGAGCCCGAGCACAAGGCAGAAAAACCTGCCGTAAGATTCACACAAGCACCTCCACCTGCTCCAGAACAGGGTCAAAGGCTAAGAGAAAAAGTCTGAAAAACCATATTTTATAAGTACAATCTTAATTGCACTTGTGATTAAAAAATAATATGCTTTTGTTTTTGTTTTTTTGAGTCAGAGTCTCACTCTGTCACCCAGGCTGGAGTGCAGTGACGTGATCTCTGCTCACTGCAACCTCCGCCCCCCGGGTTCAGGCGATTCTCTTGTCTCAGTCTCCAGAGTAGCTGGGACTACAGGCGCGCGCCACCACGCCCGTGTAATTTTGTATTTTTTTTTCCTTTTTTAGTAGAGATGGGGTTTCGGCATGTTGGCCAGACTGGTCTCGAGCTCCTGACCTCAGGTAATCTGCCCACGTCGGCCTCCCAAAGTGCTGGGATTACAGGAGTGAGCAACCACATCCGGTCAACTCATGCCTTAATAGACTTATTTTATTATTAACCCCAAGAAGGAAAATGTGGCAGACACATGGCTAAGGGTTACTTTTCATATCTACACGGCGAAAGACCAAGATGGCTGGGTGAGGTGCATACATTCCTCTGGAAAAGGGGCCTTTATACTCTTGGGGTGACGGACGGCCTACAATAATTGTCTTTCATCCGAGAGAACATAGGAAGATTTTCAAGAAGTGTGTGGGACACCGGGCGCAGTGGCTCATGCCTGTAATCCCAGCACTTTGGGAGGCCAAGGCTGGTGGATCACAAGGTCAAGAGATCGAGACCACCCTGGTCAACATGGTGAAACCCCATCTCTACTAAAAATACAAAAAATTAGCTGAGCGTGGTGGCGCGTGCCTGTAGTCCCAGCTACTCGGGAGGCTGAGGCAGGAGAATTGCCTGAACCCAGGAGGTGGAGGTTCTGGTGAGCCGAGATCGCGCCATTGCACTCCAGCCTGGGTAACAAGAGCGAAACTCCGTCTCAAAAAAAAAAAAGAAGTGTGTGGGACTCAGCACAGTGGCTTATGTGTATGATACCAACACTTTGGGAGGCCAAGGAGGGAGGATCCCTTGAGCCAAGGAAGACCATCCTGGGCAACACAGTGAGACCCCATCTCTACTAAAAATGTAAAACGTTAACCAGGAGTGGTGGTGTGCGCCTGTAGTCCGGTCAACCCAAGAGGCTAAGGTGGGAGGATTACTTGAGCCTGGGAGGCCAAGGCTGCAGGGAGCTTTGCCCCCACCACCGTAGTGCAGCCGGGGTCACACACCAACACCAAAAATAAAAAGAAGAAAAGAAAAGTGGCGGGCTTGGTGTAGTGAGGGGCACAAGCATTGGTGGGGAGAGCTCTAGAGGAAGGCAGAGCTTCCTGATGGGTTGAAGACAGTCCTAAGACACATGCAGACTCGGGGTGTGCACTGACTTTCAACACTGCCATGCAGACTACATCTCTCTCCTGCTTGTCTGCGGGTATAATAGAAGGCGAGAAGCCCCTTTTTATTACTATCATTGTACTTTAAGTTCTGGGGCACACGTGCGGAACACGCAGCTTTGTTACACAGGTACGCATGTGCCATGGTGGTTTGCTGCATCCATCACCCTGTCATCTACATTAGGTATTTCTCCTAATGCTCTCCCTCCCCTGGCCCCCTAGCCGAGAGACAGGCCCCGGTGTGTGATATTCCCCTCCCTGTGTCCGTGTGTTCTCATTGTTCAACGCCCACTCATGAGTGAGAACATGCGGTGTTTGGTTTTCTGTTCTTGTGTCAGTTTGCTAAGAATGCTGGTTTCCAGCTTCATCCATGTCCCTGCAAAGGACATGAACTCATTCTTTTTGATGGCTGCATAGTATTCCATGGTGTCTCTGTGCCACATTTTCTTTATCCAGTCTATCATTGATGAGCATTTGGCTTGGTTCCAAGTCTTTGCTATCGTGAACAGAGCCACAATAAACATATGTGTGCATGTGTCTTTATAAAAGAATGATTAGAAGCTCCTCTCAATGGAAGGGGTCAGAGCTCCTCCAGTATGAAAATGTGGACAAAGAGCATACGTAGTGTGGATCTAAAATTGGGTCACTTTGACTTACAGCCCACTTTGGGCGCATAATTGATGGCTAACACGACCTGAGCCAATTCCTTAACCTTTGCCTCCCGAAGGTAACCAATCTGAAAAATGATGAGAACACCCCGTATAATGCCTACCACAACGCACTATTTCTACATGCATTTCACATAGAAATATGTGAATATGAACCAAGCATGGGGGCTGACTCTTGTAATCCCAGCACTTTGGGAGGCTGAGGCAGGCAGATCACTTGAGGTCAGGGGTTGGAGACCAGTCTGGCCAACATGGTGAAACCCATGTCTACTAAAAATACAAACAAACAAACAAACCTGGACGCGGTGGCACAGGCCTGTAGTTCCAGCTACTTCGAAGGCTGAGGCAGAAGAATCAGTTGAACTCAGGAGGCGGAGGTTGCAGTCAGCTGAGATCACGCCAGTGCACTCCAGCCTGGGCAACAAATGGAGTGAGACTCTGTCTCGATAATAATAATAATAAAATATGTATTAATACATGCAGAACGTGTTTAAAAGTTTCTGCCACGGTACAAGCCCGGGATGCTTGCAGCCATTACCGTTGCCATTATTCTGAATATTCACCAAAGAACAAAGTGGGAAAAAATAGATGTGTGTGACCTTAAGTGCGAATCTTCTTGAATTAAGCGGGCAGGATTCTCTAAGTCACAGCTGCAACTCTATCCTTGAATGCTTCGTAAGAAGATGAGAATTTACACTCCTCTTTGAAAACTCCTGTCTTTCTGAAAAGGGCCTTGAACCTTGTGTAAAACTCTGAATGGCAAAGGTATTTCTTTTTAATTAAGAAGGCTTCTTGAAGATTCACGCTGTGTCTTTTGCAGCAGCTGTGAAGGATGGTGTGCGTGTCAACTGGATCAGATTGAACCACGCAAAATATCGATGCTGGCTGTGTCTGTGAGGGGGTTGCCACAGGAGATGAACAGCTGAGTCAGGGGCTGGGAAAGCCACAACCACCCTCAGTCTGGGTGGGCACCATCTCATTAGCGGCCAGCTCGGCTAGAATATAAGCAGGTAGAAAATGTGCAGAGGGAGACTGGCCTCGCCTCTCAGCCTCCATCTTCCTCCCATGCTGGAGGCTCCCTGCCCTCTGACATCAGACTCCAGATTCTTCGGTTTTGGGATATGGGCTTGCTGTCCTTGCTCCTCACCCTGCAGACGGACTACTATGGGACCCTGTGATTGTGTGAGTTCATACTTAATCAACTCCCCTTTATATATATATATATTTATATAAAATATATATTTATAATATTCTAACTATTATTTATATAAAATATGTTTTATTTATATTTACAATTATTTATATTATAATATTAAACAAAAATATATAATATATAAATATAATTACACATAAATAAGTAAAATATATTTATATACATAAAAGTATAATACATAAAATATATAAATATAATTACACATAAATACATAAACTATATAATTATATATTATATATAATATATTTACATATCTATTATAATATATTATATATCATATATTTATTTATATTTATATTAAACAAAAATATATTTATATATAAAATTTATAAATATATTTACACATAAATACATAAAATACATAACTATATGTATTATAATATATATTACATACAATATTTAATATATTATGTATATGTCATGTATATTATTATAAATATACCTAATATGTAAATAAGTATATATAAATGGTTTTATATATAAATATATAATATATACATTAAATAAATATATAAATATATTATATGTAAAATATAATTATATGCAAAAATACATATAAATACATAAATGTATTTTTTCCATTGGTTCTGTCCCTCTGTAGAACCCTGACTGGTGCAGATGGGAAGACAGATGTATCTGAGATTGATCTAAAAAACTCTGAATATGAATGGAAAACCTACACAAAGTTGGGCATGGCTTATCTCTTCCATGAGCAGCCCTGCTGAGACCCACTGGTTTTGGTGTCTCCAATCAGTATCCTTCCTGTAATTTTATGATATGACCACAGCAAAAAGAAACTGTGAAGGCAATTATTGTTCGCAGCTGTTTTATGCCCTGTTGGGAGTTTGGAGAAAAATGTTTACAATCAAGTACTCTTGGAGAATCCTTTATTTGTTTGTTTGTGTCTGATTAGGAGACAGGGTCTCACTCTGTCACGCAGCCTGAATGACATCACGGTTCTCTTCAGTGTTGAACCTCCTGGGCTCAAGCAATCTCCCACGTCAGCCTCCTTAGTAGCTGGGACTACAGGCACACACCGCCGTGACTGGCTGATTTTTTTTAAAATGTTTTGAGAGATGGGGTCTTGCTATGCGACCCAGGCTGGTTTCAAACTTCTGGGCTCAAGTGATCCTCCCACGTCAGCCTCCCAAAGTGCTGGGGTGGCAGGTGTGAGCCACTGCACCCCGTTGAGAAAACTTAGAGTGCTGTGAAAAAAATAGAACAGAAACAGGCTAATGTGCTCCCTGCTTACTCTGGACATGAAGAAGTAGAGAGATCCTAGCCTCAATTCTAAGAGGGGAAAACAAGGCCTCAATTTGGAATAAGCACTTTCATGGAGCATGTCTGTTGTAACATGATGTTACATAAAAATATGTCACGGCAGGCTGGGCGTGGTGGCTCGTGCCTGCAATCCTAGCACTTTGGGAGGCTGAGGCAGGCAGATCACCTGACGTCAGGGGTTGGAGATCAGCCTGGCCAACACGGTGAAACCTCATGTCTACTAAAAATACAAAAATTAGCAGGGCATGGAAGCCGGCCCCTGTCATCTCAGCTACTCAGGAGGCTGAGGTAGGAAAATCACTTGGACCCAGGAGGCAGAGGCTGCAGTGAGCTGAGATTGTGCCACTGCACTCCAGCCTGGGGGACAAACTGAGACTCTGTATCAAGAAAAAAGAAAAAAAAAAAAAGAAATATATATATATATATATATATATATATATAGACACACACATATATTATTTCTTTTTTGTATATATAATATAATTTTTTTGACATATGTGTCATTGACGCAGTGTGAGAGTCAGTGATGCCAGGATAAATATAATTTCATTTACCCATCAGCAAGCCTGTGAACCTGCGTGGTAATAACCCCACCCCAATTGGCACCTGGGTTTGGGTTTGTTTCATTCATTGAGTAGGTGGAGACAGCGAATTGTTCTTCCTGCATTTCACACAGGTTATTCCTCTTCCACACTGTGGTGCACACCCCTGTGTTTTTATGACACGTCTTATTCCAGATGACTCTGGGCTCCAGTTTGTTTTATTGGAACAGATGGAAATGTAAAAGTAAGGTCACTTACTTTCAAGCAATACACAAGTTGACGGAGTTTGCGGTCGGGAAATGACTGACCTCGTTTTTTGAGCCATGGAAGGGGACTGTCCTGAAGGGCATTTGAAGAGGTGCATTTAATGATCACTCTCTGAATTGTAGTAGCACGAATTCAGCTCTCACTATGCCACTGAGACCTAGATTTTCTCACATCATCCGTGCAGCGATCCCGTCCTCTGCTTTAAAGATGTGACAGGGAACAGAGACGTTCAGGTACATAAACAGGTAACACAGCTAGTCCCCGAGGCTTCTGAGAACAGCACATCGGCTTAGAACCACTGTATGGGACCACCCACTTTGCACCCTCTGGGACCAGCAATCAGCATGAAGGCTGGAGAGGAGTTGGCATTCAGCCGTGAAGTTGAGCATCTTCCCTCCATCCACCCAAATATCTATGCAATTATCGATCTACCCATACATATATTAATCTATTTTTCCATCTGTAATCTATCCAGCTATGTACACATCTATTCACCCACGCAGTGTGTCCATCTATCATTCATCTACCTCTTCATATAACCATTTATCCAACCATATATCCACCCATCCTAATCAATTATCCAGCTATGTACCCACCATCGTCTACCCATTTATCGGTCCACCCATCATCTGTAGATGCACGTGTTGTTCTCTCTATGTAACCATCTGTTCAACTCTCTACATCCATCCATTCAATCAGCTATCCAACTATCTATCTACCCATTCGTCCACCTACCCATCCATCTGTCCATCCATCATCTGTGTGTCCATCCATCAACCATGTTTCCAACCAGCCATCTCTCTATATAACCATCGATCTATCTATTCATCAATTCATCCAATCGACTACGCAACTACCTACCTACCCATTTCTCCATCTACCCATCTCTCTGTCATCCATTAATCCATCTAATAATTCATCCATCTATGCACCCAACTTCCCATCCAGCTATCCATTCGTCCACTTACCCACCCCCCATCCATCTATCCATCTACCTACCTATTATTTTCTGAGACCAAATGTTGGGACCCACATACATGCAGGCCGACTTCCATATCTGCACAGTTTAGGTAATGGATATTCATTAAGCGAATGCATGCACCCTTGAATGAATGAATTGACTTTGTCTGGCTCATTCTAGGGAATCTTTGCAGTGCTATTCCATTTTTGCCATAAAATACATTCAAAGGAAGAGAACAACTTGGTTGGAAGAAGCCTGAGTTCCCCATTTCATTGGGGGAATTGCACTCCGCCCTGGAGACAGAGCCAAACTCACGGTGCAAAAAGATCACAAAACGCTTGCTGTGAAATGTGCGTGGGCCTCTTTATAGTTTTCTGTTCTTAACTGTTTGTTCTAGGCGGGGGCGGTGGGGGAACCATTAGATTCCGAAGAGTTTTCATGGCTTTATATATTAGACATTGGCCACGTGTAATTGCGAAATGAATGCAAAAGCTATGCTTCACAAAGAACAGTATAAAGAGGCACTGCATTCCCCTGGTGGTTCAGGAAATTGGGAACAGCGCGTTGGAATACTGAGCATTACTCACTGTTTAATCTCAGTCTAGTTTCCAACAATCGCAACACATTCTACACCAGAAATTTGGAAAATAAACGAATAATATTGATGCTCTCATGTTGACAAGTGTTTGGATGGGTCTGGAGTACTTATATGCTAAACATTGCTCATTCCATGCTCCCTGGAAGATCTCGTGTACTTTTTAAAGAAATAAAAATACACCTTTATATTAATATCTTTGGTTTTAGAATGTCCCACCCTAATGTGCTTTTTTTTTTGCCAGTGCCAGTAAGTATAATAGACAATTGTCCTGGCTGAAATTAGTCATTTCATACCACTGAGGCGAGGGATGTTGAAAAGATGTAAAGGGTGACATTTTGGCACCTAGAAGCCGGGTGATTCCAGCGTCACCTACTTCCTTTGGCAAGCACTGACCCTCACACTTCTCTTGTTAAACCTGAGCCCCAAACCCTCTGGGCAAGTGCCCTTTTCCCAGTGCAGATGGAGCTACGCTCTCTTACCCTCCAGAGAGATCCACAGGGAGCCACACACACCAACATTGTCTCTGCCAAGAAAGAGCTCTAAAGGCATCAGCTTAGCAAGACTCCGTTTTTTCTTTCTTTCTTTGTTTTGGAAAAGGTCTTTCTGTGTGATCTGGGCTGTGTGATCCGGGGCTGTGTGATCCGGGCTGGAGTGTAGTGGCAGACTCAACTGCCAGGCTCACGTTAGCCTTTCACCTCAGCCACCAAGCCTGAGGCTTGGCTATTGGTTTCCTCCCTTGCTCCCTCCCTCCCCCCTCCCCTCCCTCCCTCCCTCCCTCCTTCCCTCCCTTTCTCCCTCCTTCCTTCCCTCCCTCTCTCCCTCCTTCATTCCCTCCCTCTCTCTCTATCCCTCTGTCCCTCCTTCCCTCCCTCCCTCCCTCCCCCTCCCTCCCTCTCTCTTTCTTCCTTCCTTCCCCTTTCTTCCTTCCTTCCTTCCTCCCTCCCTCCTCCCCTCCTTCCCTCCCTTTCTCCCTCCTTCCTTCCCTCCCTCTCTCCCTCCTTCATTCCCTCCCTCTCTCTCTATCCCTCCTCCCTCTCTCTTTCTTCCTTCCTTCCTTCCCCTTTCTTCCTTCCTTCCTTCCTCCCTCTCTCCCTCCCTCCCTCCCTCCCTCTCTCTCTCTCTCTCTCTCTCTTTCTCTTTCTTTTTCTTTCTTTCCTTCTTTCTCTTTGTAGAGACACAGCTTCACCATGTGTCCAGGCTGCCTTCACTCCTGGGCTCAAGCAGTCCTCCTTGTCTCGGCTTCCCATAGTGTTGGGATTACAAGCATGAGCCACCACGCCCAGCCAAGACTCGCTTTTAAAATGTAATGACAATTTTTAGACTCCCTTTTTATCGTAATTTGCAGTTTACACACAAGAAAAGTGCTTCGAGCGGATTCGTATTGAGACTTTGCAAAAGTTCCTCTCCCCTCAGTCGTTGTTTAGCAAACCCTCTTTGTGGCTGTCTCCCCTGGATGGATTGGTGTAGTCTTCCCACAGCCAGGTGAGCCGTTTCTGCTTCTGAGGGCAAGTTCACATCAGCACAGAGGAAGATGCTACCACAGGACGTGGCTACAGCCAGGCAGGCCTCATTTAGGTTGTTTGTACTAGGACTGACGCATTTGAGGCGATCCTGCAGCATTTCCCCGTCTTTCTTGTGATAAATCGCCTGGACATACGCAATTCCTGCCGAGGGGCAAGAAAGTGGCCATCCCAAGCTCCATGGCTACCTCCGGGGACCCCTAGTTTGCACTCTGCTACCATGTCCACCTATGTGCCTAACCTCCCTACACCTGTGTGGTGACAACTCAAGACACAGTATGTGGTCCATGGAGGAGCAGTATTGGCACTGCCCGGTACTTACACACACAGAGCATGAAGCCCCAGCCAGACACACTGAAGTAGAATCTGCCTGGTAGCAGATCCCCAAGAAAGTACTACACAGATGGTCTAGGAGGCGCCATTACATGCAAGCAAAACACAGAAACTCATGCGGCTTTCTCAGGAAGATTCCATGCAGTGTTCTCAAGGACAACCAGGACGGGCACGGTGGCTCACGCCTGTAATCCCAGCACTTTGGGAGGCCGAGGCGGGTGGATTACGAGGTCAAGAGATCGAGACCATCCTGGTCAACATGGTGAAACCCTGTCTCTACTAAAAATACAAAAAAATTAGCTGGGCATGGTGGCACGTGCCTGTAATCCCAGCTACTCGGGAGGCTGAGGGAGGAGAATTGTCTGAACCCAGGAAGCGGAGGTTACGGTGAGCCCAGGTCGCGCCATTGCACTCCAGCCCGGGTAACAAGAGTGAAACTTTGTCTCAAAATA